CACTTTCTGCCTCTCTCTTCCCTTCTGACTATCCATACACCTCACCTTCTATCCTATGTTATTTACATAGGATACTGCAAGTTGACCGTAGAACCGAGGTCAGTGTTTCAAAAACCGGGCAGTTCCAGGGACCTCAGGACTTAGAACCAAAAACTTAGTACTGCCAGGCCATCTCTCCTCTGGGCTGCTCAGCTGTGCCCACTTCTGGGTTCAGACTTTATTCTCATGTGGCGAGTGACAGTGAGAAGTTCAAGAATCACAGGCTTACAGCCACATGATTTCAGAATAGAAAGAATGTCCCTGGAAGTTTCACATAGAAAGTCCCAGGGAAGGATTCTGATTGGCCCAGCTTGGATCATCCCTGGCCAATCCCAGTGGGCAGCAGAATGGAGGAGTACTGTGACTGGCCAGGCCTCCATCAGGTGTCTACTCCAGGCCATAGGACACTGTGTGTGGCAGCCCCCACACTAGAGCCACATGGTGGAAAGGCGAGCGCGAGCTGTTAGCAGAATGGGAAAGGGTGATGGGCAGACAGAAGTGACCTATGTCCAGTTCACCATCCATGTTCTCTCACAATGAGAGTCTGGCTCACAGCAGGTGCTTTTTCTTTCTTACTTTCCTTTTAATTTTGAAAATGTTCAAATCTTAGAAAAATTGTAAGTGTAGTAACCATAAATACCTGTATACATCCTACCACTCACCACGTACGCATATGCATGCACTTTGCTTGCTGAGTTATTTAAGAATGAGTTGCAGATATCGTGTCACTTCACCCGTATGTACACCTTCCTAAGAACAAGGAACTCTTCTACAGAAGCACAATGCAATTTTCACACTCGAGAAATTTCACATTGCTACACTACTATACTTCCTAATACACAGTTCATATTCAGATTTCTCCATTTGTCCCAATTATGTCTTCAGTGGTTATTTTTAGTGTTGTTGAATACAAGATCTAATCAAGGACCACACGTGGAATTTAGTTGTCATGGCTGTTAGACTGTAACTCTTTAAATCTCCAACTATCCCTCATCGCTTTCTCTTATCTCTCATAGCATTGACATTTTTGAGAGCTCAGCCAGCTTTGCAGAATGTCCCCCACGTGGATTTTATCCAGTTATATCCTCATAATTGCAATCACGCTAAACATCTTTTAGCAAGAATATTCCACAGATGCGTATCTTTCTCAGTGCTTCATACCCAACGTCATCTTGCTCCATTATTGGTGATGGTCGTTTTGATCAACTGGTCAATAGTGATGTTCACCAGATTTCTCCATTGACAAGGTCCTGAGGTATTTTCTCCCCTGTGGATGATAACTTTAGTCTGTGTGAATACTCTTTTCTCCAGGAATCTCCCACCCCGTGTTTAGTAGCCATTAATGAGTCTTATCCGAATCAATTATTCCTGTGGTGGTTGTGATAAGCATATTTTTTATTTCTATCATTCCTTTTACTTGTATTAGTTGGCCTTCTTTTGTAAAAAAAAAAAAAATCTTTCCTTTCTCGCCCCCTTTAAGATAATTTAGCATCAGTATGAGCTCATGGATAATTTTTCCTATTCAGTGTGTTTTAATCTGCCCCAGTCATTATTCATTTTGACACTCATAGTAACCCAAACTTGGCTATTAGAGCTTCGTCAAGCTGGATCCTGGGTCCTTTTGGGATGTCCTGCATTGCATTTCTAGCACTTTCTTGGTTTTTGGCTCAACAAAATGTTCCAGATTCAGCTTTTAAACAAATGTATCCTGAAAATTACATTACATAAGAGGTTGGCCAGCTTCTCATCCCATGGTCCAACCACTGCTTGCTGCTGAGGACTTCCTCCTCTCTTGCAAACCCCAGGCGTTAGGTCAGGTGGCAGTATCCAATTTCAGGCAGAAAGATGGCTGAATTTACTCAGCAAGTAGAGAGAAAATAAGACTGAAAGTGTTGCCATAAATTTAACTATGTTTCCTACCCTGTCCCCAAAGGAAGAAGTTTGCATTCATGTACAGTCTCCGAAGGTCTTTATTCTCAGTGGGATCTGTGACAGAATGGGCCGGGTGTGTGTATGTGTGTGTGTGAGTCACATCTGCACAAAAGAAAGTCTATGCATCATTGTGAGTATGAATGACTATGGCGAGTTCGTGGGTGCCCATCTCTCTGTGGGGGGCAGAGTGGAAATGGCATGGATTTTGGAGCATGGACCAGCTGATACAGTCATGCTGCTACCACTTACCAGCTCTGTGACTTTGGGCAGAATTACTTAGCCACCTGCCTTTGTTCGCTCGTCTTGAAATCAGCCACAGTAATACCTACTTTAAAGGGTTCTAGTAAGGATTAAATGAGAATCTATAAGACAAGCCCAGTCCCCAGTGCAGCCAGACATGAAATAAATGGTACCTGTGAGGATTATACAAGATATCCGTCTCGATAGAATAACAGGGACAAATCTCATAACAAACCCAGCAGGTCTCATGTAGCAAGTGAGCACCTGTTCCCCCAAGTGGT